TAGGTTACCCGCGAAGGATTGAGTGCCTTTAGCATATATCAGGATGTATTTATTCCTTCGATTAGGTAGAGTCTAAGAAGTGAGGTTTAAATATCAGTTAGGGAATCCAACAGTGTAACGTTCGTATCCTTTTAAACGAAATAGAATGTAGAAAGCATTCAAACATAAAGAGAGGTTTTATTAGCAGCGGTCGTTTGAAGCTGGCCGAAGCATATAACTATAATGCACTATCTCTTGGGGCACAATAACCAGTGACACATTGTTCGAAAGAGCGAAACATTTTTTGTTTTAACCTTGGATTTTGATCCTCGAATTGATGCTTGAGGCTTACCTGACCTGGACTAAATTTACCTACGTTCCGTGTACAACATCACGTATTTGGCACAGCTTCGAAAGATATTCTCAACGCAGAGAGGTTTGCCAAAAAAGTTTAAGTTGAAAACTTTCAGTAAGACGGAGTTTCAAGCCATAGCGGAAAAATGATGACGCTCTGAGTATCGATATACCTTCAAAATACAATGTGACTTCATACAGGTAGGTGCTGCACGGCTTATTCTATTAATTTTATATCCATATAGTGTGTTCGAATAATTCGGTCTATCAGTTTGGCGCACAATTCAATTCTAACTACTCTCCCGTTTTCCTAGGTCTCTCACTTACGGCAAACTTTCTAAAGGAAGACATAAAAACCTTAGACTATGTTTTGAAGAATATGGTTCAACTATGTTCGCCCGCGGAAGGAGCCACTCTTGTAGCATTTTACCTAACCATTAACGTTATTATGGTGCTGCATCGATTCCAAAGCAAAAAGGAAAGAAAGGAGTATATATATATACGTGTATATAAAAGAGACAGATAGACGTACTCAGTATGGATGGGACGAGAAAAGAAGAGATAAAAAAAGAGATTTTCTGAATTGATCGTATGCATGTTGAGTCGATGCGGTATGCCATCGCTCGTCCAGATGCATAGGCGTACACTGATTTTGTCTTTGTCTTTATTTACTAGTAACGATAGCTAAAACAGGAAGGTAACGATGGGCCTTTCCGTACTGGGCCGTGTGTCTTAGATTCGTAGAAAGAAGCGAGGCCCACGACAATGTCGGCGGCGGTGGCTGTCGGAGAACCCCAACGGAATTCAACGGTAATACGCTAACGGAGTTCGGACGGCATTAGCATTGTGGGTTACATCAGGTACTGAGACGCTATACACACGGTACCCACCGCCCCCTTTTCTCACACAGACACGCATCCACATACCATTCAGCAGTCAGTCAGTCAGTCAGCCAACCAGCCATCCATAGCGCATTACGATGATGCCAGAGAGCAGCTACTGACAGAAGTCGAAGGGTGTCGCTACAACATACCCAAAGGCGCATGCAGATTGATTCCATTGGGAATTCTTTCTTATATCCACCAAGCAGATAAGAGATAAGTCCGACAAAGTTGCCTAACAGTAGCTGCTGGCTGTAACTATATGATTATAGTATAGTTATGGTATAACAATAGCACCTGCCGCAACTTCGACGCGAGCTTCTTGCACAGAATTGGCTTAAGACGAATATAGGAACATCATCATTGAACAGTTACATAAGGTAAACTTATAATGATGATACCTTTGAGGAGAATCGATACTATTTTGAGGCAAGCTCAATTAAGGTAATAAACGTAAGATTTCTGATCTAAGCAGAGAACCGTTGCGAGACGTACTACAGTGCAAAGGCCTAGTTCACAATGAAAATGTTATGTCAACGTTTATTTGGGCCAGGCGATATCAGTTTTGTTTGCCGGACAGGGTTAATTTCATTTAAATGACAACCTATATAAGCGGAAGAAAGAGGTTTTTCTTACTAGCTCATTCGATGCAACACTATGCAGGAACATGTACACAAGGCACGAAGCAGACAATATTGCCTACGTCTGATTTGTATAACTGAGATTCGCTATCCGAAATGCCCACGCGATTTCCGATTGAAGTGGACAGGTTCCCTAAGGATTGTTCCGGCGGTATGTACTGGGTGAATGTAAATAGATCAGAAATAGCGCGGAGTCCCCAGCTCCTATTCATTACGGATCGTAGGCGTGGGACGTCGGCAAAGTAGTTGGTGCAAGCGCGATGGAGGCTTCTCACTTATCGATCAAAGTCTTATCTTACTTTGATTGGGGATCGCCTTGCTTGATACTGATCTATTTAGCAGAGAGATATCTTAGTGCGTTTGAAAAGTTATTTTACTTAACATGTTCCGCCGCTTTAGTTTAAACGTATGCCGTGCTCTTTCCGTCTGCGTCACGTGAAGTCTACGCTTGGCTTGATCATTGTGAAGGCTATGAAGGTGTATTACAAGTAGTTAGTTAGCTATTATATTCCAACAGCTAATGTTATATGTGTGCGTTTTTATTCGCATACATGGTAAAAACAACCTTTCGAGTAATGGAAACCAATTCAAGGTTTCAGGAACCAGGTGATACAGGTTACTGTGTTGCTCGCCATGGTATGGTATTGCGGCCTGAGCTAGATTGTATGACATTTTCATGAACGAAACTTGCCTTCGTCAGTAAAACTAAAACTGGGACGCTCATGAGTGTTTGAACAGCGCTACAGACACTTACTGTATACAACGTACTCGCCTAAAATGACCGATTCTTAGGAACAGGTTGCAGATGGTCCAATGTCATTCTACAAACAAAAAATTGCACATTTCCTATAAATATCTCTTATCGGCTGTCTATATCCGAAACAGTGCACTCATGAAACTTTTAAAGACTCGGGTAAGTTAAGTGCCGAACTTTTTAGATAACATATCTCTATATAATGAGATGATGCGCGGCTTTCAAAATTTGCAATGAGGAACGGGAAAATCTATTCTTATACTTACTATCCTTAATAATGGCTCTTATGTATAGCATAAAGTGCAGGTGAGTTAAGTGGCCTTACAATATCCTTATTATTATCCTAAAATATCCTTATTTAGACTCGTCCATAAAATCACAATTAGTAGGTTTGTAGGCTCGCTTTTCAGGCTTACAGATGCCTAATTGTTATTATTATCATTACTGTTATCATTGTCATTTCTATGGCAATTTGGCACTTTTGGGTAGATATTGCCTGATGTATTACTTTTACATTACAAATTTTTCTAACAAAATATCAGAATTTCGATTTCTAATAAAGTTGCTATCGTTTTTTTCCAGGAATAGTAGGGTATCTAACCCTAGTTTTTACTCTTATTTTTTAATAAAGTGATAATATTGTTCTTCAGAAGTGTTTCACTTCAGAAGTGTGTTGAATATTTATAACTCAAGTCATATTGCAGGGTTTCCCTGGTTCTTTGAACACAGACGAATAAATCAAATATTCATCAGGGGCATTTATAAACCTGGCTGTCGTTAAACACTGTCCCAGCGTGAGGAAATTATTGTTATTTTTTTTTATGTATTTACTTTATATTTTCACTAATGACTCGCATATTTGTTTGAGCAGAGCTTTACATTTGAGGTATATCTCAATCACAACTAGTATTTTTTCTCATTTATTTGCTCTGTGGGCCAGCTATGTTGCTAATTGCTGGTTAAAACAAAGTTTTTTTTTTTATGTAGAATGGTTCACTCCATGTCGCAACGCTAGCATTGAAATTTACGTGACTAGCGGTTTCCCAGTACGTATATGCGTATTAACATCTGTATTGTGCTTCACGCTAAAGGTTCTTATAGAAACCTTATTATGATCTGACAGAATACCGCGTGAATATCCGTGCATCCTGTTGTTCGTGCGTTCCCTTAAATTTTTGTCAGGATTATTTTTCATTGTTTTTCTTAGAGCTGTCTCTCGCGGAAGTTGTTTTCACATAGACACAACACACACTAGACTCACACAACCCGTAGCATTATCTCTGCCGCTATCCATTGCTATTGTCGGTTCAACTGCAGTCACCTGTAAGAAAGAGAAAGAGTGGTTCCTTTTCCGTCGTCTCACCTTCTCATTCTTACCAATGCGCGAGTTTATACCCAACTTATCCGCGAACCCTTTGCCCTGCTTCTTCAATCGACTTCTCATGGGGTATCCTAAGATGGTAGCGGTCGCGGTGGTAGCGGCAAAGGCACACACCCCCACACACAATGTAGGCAGCACCAGCAGCTGTTAAAACGCAGAACCTCTTCCGGGTCTCTTTCCCGAGCCCGTTCTTGTTCTGTGCCCGCTTGCCTCATCCAGCCAACTACCAATTGGATTCTCAGAGGTGTTGTTTTGCCATGGGGAAACGCCGAACAGGACAGGCCTTGCGAACTGGGGAATTACCACCCCTAGACTCTTTAAGGGGGTTGTGTTAGCTGCTAGCTAGAACTGCCGCTGCTTCTGCTGCTGCTGCTGCTGCTGCCAAGGGCGAAACGAACGAGCAAACGAAGAGGGGCGGCGAAAAGGCTGCCGCTGGTAGCGGCCGTGTGTCAACTCTCAAGGCTCTCTATCTTCTTCTCTCCTATTCTTGCCCCCTCCTCCACTCCCGTCCCTCGCCCTCCAGTCCACCGCGTTACGTTATTCCATGTCCTCCCTTTCTTGGCCTTCATCGCCCCCATTCACTCACCTTCGTGTTGCTCTATAGCCCCCGTCCTGTATCTCCAAGTCTCTCGTTGGCCGTAGCAAGACCGACCCCTAAACCATTTCGTCGTGGCGCGCATTGCCGCTTCGGCTGCTTCAGCAGCTGTACTTCAGCCTGCCAGTGGTGGGGCTGCTGCTGGCGATGGCGGTGGGCGTCGTGGCACTAGCAGTGGTAGTAGTGGGTGGCTGTTTCGCTGACTGGCGGTGGTGATGGTGGTACCCGCGGCCTGGCCGGTCTCGGTTGTAATCTCTGGGGGCCAACAGCCGCGCATGCGTCGCCCCTGGCCCCCCAGGGGCACATGTTGGGGGCGCTGGGGTGGTGGCAGCGGCGGCAGCGACTCGACCAAAACAGAGAGGCGACCGGGAGCACGAGATTCGTAGGCTCATTCGAAGACTAGCTAGCTCCGAGAAGGGAGCGTATTGCTAGGGGATAATAGGAAAGATAGCAAAAAATTGACACAAGAAACATATCTGCAGTAGCCGATGACACCGCACAAAATGCGCGGCAAGCTCCATGGACATACAAGGCTCACGAAGAGTAGGTCAACGGTATCAGCGACAACGACAGAAGCAACCACAATAAAAAGAGATGCGGAAAACTTTGCGGGAAAGGAAAGCACTAGGAACGTCTGAATGTGTGTCAGTCGTTCCGTTGTAATTCGCGTATTGTTAGCTGACACGAGACATGGAGTGAAGTAATCAGACGTCCAGCTATATCGAATCGTTGCTAAAGTTAATAGACGCGACGCGGAGTTTGGAAAATAGTTGGCATACGCTCAATAATAGCATCGTTTACGGTAACAGTATCACATTTTTCGTTATGTTCGTTAAAGCGAAACTTGGTGATGTTTCTGAGTGTGTGTGGGTGTTTCGAGTTCTATCAAGCTAAAATGGAACAGAGAAAGTTAACAAGGGAGCGGAAAGGACGAACGGATTGAGCACCTGAAGAAAAGAACGTCCTGAACAAGCAGGTGGTGATGGTGTCTGGTGACTGTCGACATTAACTCTACAGACGGGTGGTGACATTAGTCCAGTGGGTGTCAGTGATCGTACCCTTGAGCGAGCGGCGGATCTGAACAGAAATCAGCGATAGTAAACAATTAGAGCACCAATAATCACAACGACAACAACAACAATACAAGAAGAGTGCAAAGAATAGAGCAGGAGACAATACGAAGCAGTGAACAAACTAAGGACGGCAGCACGTCGGACGAAATTGTCTGGTGTTGACGACAGAGATGAGCGTAGTGCAGTCGCGGAGGAAGCAGGCCAAGCCGAGATCTGTTAAAGGTGAGTTTTGAGCAGGATTGAAGACAGCCTTAAGGAAAAGTTTTAGTCGCATCTATGACGCCTACACACACGCACGCACGCACACACACACACACACACACACACACACACACACACACACACACACACAATTAAAATGTATTACATATCTAGGCTCACTTGAATAATTCAAGTTCAGACAAAAGGAAAATACGTTTCTGTTGTGATGAATGCTTGTCGAGTTTGTATGAAAATCTGAGGGAATGTACAAATAATAGAATGCAACCTCCTACAAATAATATATGTGAATATAACTGCACTGATCACGGTTGAAAGGGGCTATGAAAAAGAGGTAACGACGTCGATTATTCTGTCGTGCTCCTATGAATGCAAGTATTATAGAAATTACATAAAAAGAACGATGATTTTGACTTGATTATGGCATTTACCGAACCTAAGTTTTGCGATGACACCTGTGGTCGCTAGTTACACACCCGACACAACGAAAGCTTGACCTCTCTGTCATAAAATATGATGTCGCATCAGCCGGTAAGCGCTGTCGGCCATTGGAGGTAGTAGGTATCGCGCAATCTGGCCCGATCTGTCTAGCTGTCGTCTAACGCTTCTCGGGACTTCTCGCGGATGGAACCCCCAGTTGCAGGGAATCATACTGGTGCGTCCTGTCTCACAACTTCGTCTACCTTTTCGAAATCTTTCAAGGTTGATTCCTCTCTTCCTTTAGCACTCTCCTTGACCGCTCTCTGTTGTTGGGCTTCTCTTTCCTGGTTAGACTTTTCGGGCGCGACTTCAAAACCGTTTGAATGCATTAACGTGTAGATACAACTAGCAAGGGCAGCAGCAGTAGCCGTCAAAGACGAAAGTATCTCAAGTAATCCGACTCGGTAGTCCGCTTGTTTCTTGATAATCTGTTAGATGGAGCCGGTTATTTCAAGGAATAACATAACGCGGTTGGTGCATCGTTTGTCCCAAAGTGCCGACCCGCCTCCGCCGCCCAGCTACACACATACTCACCGAAGACGAAACAGCTGCATTTTACAGTAAAGAGATTGCGCAGAGTGGGCGCGTTATCATCTTTTCTTCTTTCCGAGATCCAGAAGCAGCCGTCCCAGGAGGACTACTGACCTAACAAGGCTCCCGTTGTTTGATGTCGAGTGTCACTTGTCCCATCTTCAGTTCCTCTCCCGGTTTCCTTCGTGCTTCCATCGGCTGAATAACAGGTCGCGCCCACCGCAGTAAACGATTTGAAAGTGTGGCAGAACGCGAATGCAACACGTATGACGGAGCCGTCTGAGTGTAAGATCAAGATCTAGGAAGACGAACAATCAGAAACGAATCTAAAGTAGAATTGATGCTGATGATGACAAGAAGCTATGATCGCCCTCTGTTGGACATTCCACGAATGTCTAAGCTCGTCCTATCGAAGGACTCTCTACACCCAATACTACAAGTTGGCCTGTTCGTTTGTTGTCGGCCTCCGATAGACATGTTAGTTATTAGGTGAACCGCGCCACATGTTCCGTGTCAAACGATGAATGCAAAGGATAAATCGACACACGTGTCTAACGACCAGAGCCGATGCGCTAGACGTAATTTGAATATCGCTTGTCAATGTCTTGCGTGCCTCAATGATTGTATAGCTAACTAGCAATCAGTAAATAAATACCTAAAAAGGGAAAATGCCCATGAAAAGTTGTTCCACGGCCAAGCTTGATACCTTAAATATCAGAACGGCGCAATCGCGTCAATATCTCAGTAGACAGATCGCTTCGAGAACGCCAAGTGCATCTATGATTAGTATCATCATCATCATTATCACTGTTGTTGTTACATATGAGACAACATGTTGCCATGCGTACGTAGCATACGCAGTTAGATGGAATCATGGCAAACTTGTACATAGTTATGATACTAATTATATGTCTTCCTACCGAAAAGCCGGTGTGACTGTGATGTCGCCTGCAACACCTTTGACGCTGCAACAGTCTTCGCGCGTTGATCAGCTCGTGCTCGTGCTCGTGCTCGTTACAACAGCAAATAGAGGAAACAAACTGGTGCATTGGCGAGTGAAGCTAGAACATATTGCCTATGGCAGATAAAGCTTATCTAAGCAATTGGAACTAATGGCGACAATTTAAATGAGTTAGATTCGACATGGGTCGAAAGAGATTCTATACAATTACCAACTGTACCCTGTATTCTAGACTGGACGTCCTGGAAGCTGACCAGTAACAAGTGGTTACTTTGTGGCCCATGGGAAAGATTTCGTGGCATTGTTGAGCTTGTTGTGTGCGTCCTCTAAGCTTTGAAAAGCAGGCTGTATAAATACTACGACTTTATAGCCATCTCACCATACAATCAGCGAATATATATGTACGCGCTCTTTGTTAAACTAGCGTTTTTCAATAGGCAAAACCAGAGTTTCTAGATTATTCAAAATCACTCGCTGCACAAGATTGGCACGCAAGTAGAAAATTATATATTAACCAAGCAGTATTGTCAAAACCAAACATAGCTGGAAGATCCTTTTCCTTTATGGTATGGCTAGTTCTTGCTTAGTGACATCCATATGAGATATTCCTACATGAAACAACTGTTACATATCCATTGTGGAAACAACTTCGAATGGCCATAGCTTAGGTTTTACGAGTTCAGCTGCTGCGAGCTGGCGATCTGGTGCTGATTGTGAGAGGCGTGCAACGTCTCAGTTTACGGTTGACCTGTAACTATGCTTAGTCAACAATGGCTAGATAATTTCATCGAGTTTTCGATAGTATCCCTTCAAAAGCGAACATTTTTAACCAGAGGCCACCAAGGTCCGCAGCGAAAGGCAGAGACTGGGCCCGCTTTCACTGAAAGTGAAGGCAAGTTGCTTCGCATGACGCAGCAGCAGCAGCAGCAGCAGCACTGGAAGACTACATGACCACTGAACTGTGAAGTAAATATTTACATTCGTTGTATTACTATTCCTTATATAGAGCCACAGGTACGAAACGCTCAAGTTATGCTCGCATCGGCGTCCGCCATTGCAGTGCGTTTGCATTTTAAGCAACAGTGTCGTACAACTATACATTTTCGGTAGGAAAAAAATGAGGAAAGGCTGACACGGCACAGGACGCTGGCGCCATTTATCAAGAGAAAAATTGAGTTCTGTACGAGGGGGACTCGTTCCATGTTTCGAAGGCATTAGCAATGACGCGATAATGGTGCTAGTTGCGATATGGTATGGCGCACTAGCCGTGATCTAGTTTTGTCACAATGGCAAAATTAAATAACGGTCTTCGTCACAAACTCAAGCCACACGCACCAATAACGAGATAAAACGAACGAGCCGAAGAGAACTCCTGCGGTTTCGTTGGTAATTTATTGCAATAGTTGATTTGAAGCATAGCTCAATGTATGGCGTTCGTCACTGAACGAACGTTTGTTACAACCGTGGCCTGCCGTTAGACTACTATTGTTGTTGTTATTTATTGTTATTTGGTGTGATCATCAACGGCTAGTAAGAGCTCGTTTCTATATGGATCAGTTGCTCAAAGGCTAAAGGCTGATTCCTAAACTTGGCCTAATAATAATAATAATACATAACAAAAACTAGGTTTTTTAGTGTTTCACTTATATTTGGCGTAGTTGAGCCAGTTATAGAATAGATAGAGTCATTGTGTATATGCATAGACAGGCGGTTCTATCAAAATATATACATTACATTGTGTCAGTGATCATAACTTCAGTTCTTATTCATATACAATTAATATTGGACAACTTTTCCTTCTTTTGATGAGCTTTTGAGATGTTTGAAGCTATTGCCGTTCTGGTCGGCCTAGACGCGGCCTTGCTTGATTGTACCTTTTCAATGTCGTCAGTTCTGTAGCCTAGACTTTACCTCTGAGGCACACCCTTAGCAGAAAGAATCGACTAGCAGGTCTGAGAGACAGGTATGGTGTTTTATGAAAGCTTTTCGTCCAATCCATTGCAAGGTTCTCTTACAGGATACGCTCTCAGGGTACGATAATAGTGTACAGGTGTTTTGTTTTGATGGAAATGAAATTTCCCACCTTCACCAAAGCTCTCCCGAGTGCGTGCTAAAGTTGATTGTTGAATTAAATTCGAGTAACTGGCAGCAGTTACTGCTCTATCGACAAAGAATGCCTCAGTTAAGCTTTTGCTTAAAATGCCGCGCTGAACTATCACTCGTGCTAACTTACATATATATACAGGTATACAGGAACACTATGTAAGTTTACAGATGTTCAATAGGTGCAATTACATCGATAAGCTGCGCTATCAGATTCGAACGTGAACAGTTTTTGTCCAAGACTGTGTATCGTGTCCACATTATTCGAACCGTAATCTACAAAATGGGATTTTGTTCTATATATATATATATGCGCGTGCGTAGGTAGTAGTATATGTCTATGAATAGATAGTTGTCGTTAACGCGTCATTTCAAATATTCCAACAAGAAGATTCTGACCCGCTTATTTGGATGGTGGCAGTACGCAGTGTACGAGGTACCTTCCTGACCTAAAAAGGTTTTTGTGATTGCGGCTCGACACGAACGGCAAACTCTTACTACGGACATATGCCTTTGTGCAGAATTCGCACTGGCCAGTACGATTTACTTGAATATGGCAGCCATCCTGCTCTGTTTGATATGATACTTTGCAGGATCCAAAAGATGGCCGGACGGACATCGGTTAGGTGTCATGTCGGAAGAATGGCTTCGCTTGGACGGCTGTAGCTGTTACAGCAGCTACCGGTGATCTCCTTCGTTGTCTCGCTGCGTATTGAACGCGCGCAATGCACTCAACATCATAAAGCAATCACGGCTAGACTCCCTTCACACTCAGCCACCCTGACACTTTCGGCTGTTTCTATGAGAGCTTGTGAAACACAGTCTGTGTATAGAAATATGTATAGGAATATGTGTCCCCGAATATGAAGTATGGCAATATGCGCGAAAGAGGTCCAGCCAGGGTGATATCGATCACCAACCCCGCTCT